ATGAAAAGTCTTTTATGCAATTTTATGTGGGGATTCAAATGGATGGAAAAAAAAAACCTATTTTCTCTCTTTACTGCATCATCAAAAAAGTATACAAGCTTTTCATGATTGAATTTATAGTGCCACCTGCTATTTCCACTCAATCATGTCGATAAAATTATAGAGAGGATAGCAACTTTGATTTTTTTCAATGAGAGGGGAGTTATCACACCACTTGCTCGGGTACATAGATGTGATAAACGATAATTTTACACGTTCATTCGACAAGTACAACTTTTAACTCCGATTCAATGCTTGAGTCTTTCTATTTTTATAAGGGAACTATTCCAAAATCATCCGCCATTTCGCGGAAATAATGGAATTTAAATTTGCATTGAGAATGAAACGAGATGGAAATGTTCTTTCAACACCCACTGGCTTCTTTCATATCTTCATCTTAATTTTAAAGAAACACCTTTCTACTGAATACATTCTAAATTAAATGGAATTTTTTTCTTTTAAATACCCAGAATAAACCAGAGCCTTCAGGCTACGAGTGAAAGGTCTGCCTTTATTTTCTGGGATAATGTAAATTTTTTTTTCATTCATTTGACTATTGACGATCATTTAATAAATAATAATAATCGAAAAAATTCAACTCGATATTTTATTTTATTTATATTATTCACCAGAAAGAATTGCGCGGAATAAATAGTGACGCAAGTGTTTTCTTTAATTAATCATTAATATGACGAAGAATTTAAAGCTCTCGGTATATGAACCAATCCGATATAATTATCTCAACAAATTCCTCTCTAGAAATTACCTATGATCCATTCACTGCGGCATGAAAGACTCACATGTTGAGTCTTTCATTCTCTTTTCTTTTATCCGAGATGCCGCTGTGATTGTTGAGACTATTTCTCCAACCGCGGGGTCGAGGACACGGAGATGATCAATCTTACCCGGTGATAATTGGCATTTCATTAACAAGTGTGTCAATTAATTGAGAGACTCAAAAAAGCAATACGAAAATATTGACAAATTCGAATAAATAGAAATCGTCGATAAACATCTCACCAGATCGAATAAATGGAATGAATAATAATCAGCCTTTGATGTTAATAAAATTGTTGCTTGCAAAAACGCGGATTTACTCAATACTAGAAATTTTTTTTTTCTTCAGAAGGAAAAAGAAATAAGACGCAGATTACATCTAGACCGCGACCGCTTTTTTTATTAATGTGCATATGTTCTCTGGATATTTGTATAGGTGAAGGAAGAGGTGTTTTTTTTTTTTATTGCAAGAGGTGTATGATTTGGCGATGATTGATGGGGTCGTGGGTCAAAGTGATCAGCGGCGCTCCAGGCGCCTTGGCTCACCTGACCAAACCTCTTCCAGTCCTTTCCATCCTCTTTCTCTCCACCAGCTACTATTTCGCAATTCATGAACGGAAATAACACTTTTTCATTTTTCATCCACGGGATTCAGTTGTTAAACAATACAGATTAATACCGCGTCATTAACCCACCGATCACAATGAATTAAATAAACCTCACAATTACCCCACATTTTCCCTTTCTAATTGCATTTCTGATTGATAAAAGTATCCACAAAGAATTAACAAACATTTATTTCAATTCATCGATCAATTGTTTAATTGAATTTTTTTATCTTCCCATGGACCAAAATGCGAACCACTGGTAATTGTCAATTAAAATGGATTACGCATCGATAATTCATGATATTCAGATTCTTCCTTTCTCTTGTTGGTTTACGTCTATATAAATATATGTGAACTGCATTCACAGTACATAATGAGTATTAAAACTCCAGGAATAGGAGGCGTGGGTGCAGACGACCCGCCTACATAATACATGCCACGCATTTATATGACGAATGCCGTTTCTTTTCGCGCCAGCATTGAGTTCAAAGTACTTGAGTAATATAATATTTGACGTTGCCGTATTTATTCAGCGGTTATCCACAGAGAAACTGATAGATCTGTCGCATCTATAGAATCACTTACCCCAGTAATTGACCTCTCTTGATTATTGGGAATGCCAGCTAATGGACTGATGTCTCGATCCTGATTTCTCAATCCTCTCGTCGATATTTTTCCCGAAAAATTCACTGATAATGTCACACGAGAAATTACAAGTTTCATACGCATGCTGCACTGTAATTGCACGTCGAGATCACCTGGCAGAGGTCAAGGCAAACTCACCAACCAGTTTTTCATTAGCACCAGCTGACACCAATTGCAATAATTTTCTTTTTTAATTCACCATTTGAGAAATCAGGAGGACTTTTTTATTTTCTAATCTCGTGGTTTTGGTGAGAGGGATTATTAAAATTCTTGGCAATTAATATTTCGGTGTCGCAGATGTCCACTGGGAGATGGGCTTGGAGATAGCACCAGCACACGTGCACATTGTTTTTAGATTGATGGAGGATGTCGTGGAGTATTGTGGAGGACAGGGAAGAAATGTTTATGCTGTGGTAGGACTACTGTGCACTAGCATTGGGCAACTTATCATGTATTTTACCGTGTATTTTGAAAGATTGCCACTTTATTTTTTCTCTCTATCTCCACAGACTCGGTGCTATTATTTATTTATAGGATTGCTGTATGAAAAATTAAGTTGGAATACTTAATGCCGAGTCATAATTGAAATAATCCTTAAGAAATCTCGACAAATCAAGCTATGATCGACGTCACAATTCATGAATGATTAATTGTTGCGGCTATACACCTGGCACGGAAATGTTAAGGTTCAAAGGTACACGACGTTGATACATCGAAGTGATCAGTCTCTCGAATAACTCCATATGCCTTCATTCCCCATCCAGAATTCACGATAAAAATTCGAATACTTCATTATTGCTGAATTAATTCCAAATAACATCACCGGTAGTGGAAAATGATCTCCTGTGCAGCACCAAGACAAAAATTCAAGTATGCAAATCAATTTTACGAGAGCAATTGAAATTTTTTTACTTACTGGAATATTTTTTTTTCGGTTTGGATACTGGTGGGGGGAAATAGTGAATAACTCATTCATATGAATGAATCCGGTAATATAACATTTCAACAATTTGCAAAAAAATTCATCCACCCTCTCCTCGTTTCTCATCGAATAACGCGAGGGCCAACATCATCATCCAATGTGTGCGTTTATAAAATGCGATAGTTGCGACCGGTTTTTAGCTCGTTCCGCCAACCGTCCGGATCTTAACGATCGGATTCAGAAGACAACTTTTATCGATACTCCAGGCTCGAGCATTTACGATGACGATGACGACGTGATGCGACTTCAAGTTCCTATACCCAGTAGCCAATTGTCGTTGGCTTAATTTTACATTTTTTTATCAGCATTTTTATTCTCCCTGGGACAGGATAAAACGAAACTGGTGTTACAATACCAGGGAAAAATATTCTGTAATCATTCTGGAATAATTTATTTAATCAATCCTTCGAACGTACTCTATTAGGTATTAATTCTCGTTATTAATTTGAAATTCTTCATTTCCTTGCTTCTCCTTTTCTATTATTCATTTTTTCTTCCAAAATATTGAAATACCCAGCGCCAGAATTTCTTCAAAAATCAGTTCCTCATAATTACACGAGGAACTAAAGAGACAAATCCTCAACATATTTACATTAATTCCTACCCACATCATTCATTCTCACCCAAGTGTATTCGAAATTCCAGTGAATGCTGAATAGAATAAATGATTATAATTTATCTTTTAATCAGAATTTCGAGGATTGGGTAATGCGAGAGTAATTCTGAGGGGTGTAATATCGTAAGTACATCCATACCATCTGAATTCGCGAATTGATCAACGAATAGTTGACATCCTGTTGAGTTATTTAAATTTAATAAAATTAAATAGTGGAGTAAGGGATGAAATGTTTTTCCCCTGGGTCTTATTAATTTCTTTTTCTTCGTGCAGTTCTTCTCTTCTGCTTTTGACTGCTCAAGGGACCACTTAACTGTGAGCTTCCTTCTCGGTGATTATTGACCGCGATAATGATCGAGTCGCTTCAAGAGTCGTCTATGGCGTGATTGCTGTCTGGCGGTGGAATCACAACTGGTGTGTACACCTTAGGCAATGCGAGGGTGGTTATTAGGACGAGTTGGTTACAACTTGAGTTCTACTGTCTCATTCTCATCCCTTTACCCCTCCTATTCCACGTGGATTGGAAGAAAATAACGTGAAATTTATTTGAAAAAATACCGCTCGGTTTTTAGGATGGAATTTGGCATCCCCCAGGGGGACAATATAATAACTTGGCAATTAGACGGTGAGAGCGATTAAGAGTTGAGTTTAATTGACGGTGGGAGAGAATCAACCCGAACAATTCATCCCACAAGGCGTGAGCTTTCCGCTTTTTTTTTTAACTGTTTATTTATCGTTGGTACTTTTCTCTTGTAATTTCATTTTATTTTCTCACTCGTGCACTTGTCTCAAGTGCAAACCCGGGGATAATAAATCTTTTCAATGTGGGGGAACACCGTAACTAGTAACCGATTCACATTTTTAGCTATTAGCCGGAGTTATGAGTTGTGAGGCTGTGGACTTGGGTATCAAAGAATTATTATCTTCTATTCTCATTATGTTTTTTTTATTTTCCATTCACGTGTGTTTGAGGCTCAAGTTTAGAGTAGTGTTTATGGAATTCCGTAATTAATAATTGAGGGAGAGAATAATTATTCTACTGTTAATCTGAATTTTTATGAGTTCATTTGAGGAGATAGCGAGTGTCCTAATGCTAATGATCAATTGAAAATGGATCGATGGTCTTGTAGATTAGAAAATGGTTGTTATATCAAATGGGGCGACATCTGTTTGGGATTTAAACAACAAAATTAACGTCTCGAGTGCTGTGTTATCGATAAGTGATACCTTGCCACCTGTTTGTTAAGATAAACATAATTTATTTAATTTATTTGTTTGAATGAAAAAAATTTGAACCCAGAATTGTGGAGATGAAATAATTACTTCTGTCATGTAGCTTGAAAATCTCCTTCTAATTTATTATTCCATTAAATATAATGTCATTATAGCTCGACAAAGTACAAACTGATTGTATATAATTTATTATATAATGAAGAAAAGAGTAATAAAGTATAGAAGCAGCCACGACGCAAGGCAATATTTAAAGCAAACAGATTATCTCCTTTTCACAGTAAAGTGTAAAGGATTGAATTTTTATTCCCTTTATCGTTTCTGTTTGGTCTCATCAACCGTCAGATTCTCGTCAGATTTTCCATGTACTAATCTACGAAAAAAACTCACTACTCTTCATTTCTCTCAAAGAAATAATTATCAGAAACCGCAAAATATGATCTCGATCTCTTCTATTACCGATGATTCCTTTGAGATGATAAATAAAATAAATCCTCCGACCAAATGTGGAAGGTCCCCCTAGTATGAAGAACTAAATACAACTGTACATGACGCATCCTAAATCTAATAAAGGGATCTAATCTCTCTATATTTATTTACATCGCAACGGGTATTCAACTATTCTGAGAGTAACAAAATCAATAAAATTAGGAACAGCAATCGAGGGAAAATGAGAACAAATAATAGAGGGATAAATAAATGGATCTGCGGATTTATAACAGGCATCGACAAATCAATCTACCCAGTCTTTCGTTGCGCGATAGAAAAAAAGGCATGGGCGAATTTTTCGTGATAATAATTGACAGTATTCATAACAATTTCGAAATAACTTAGGTATTAACGCGTTTTAATATTACGAAGGGATTTTTTTTTAACGATTGGTAATTAATGGGACTGAACTAATTCAGTGAGATAATTTAAACTGGAGGTAATGCCCAAAGCGTAGCTGTTTTATCTGCTGATGTGCTGAGGAAAGAGAATTCTGTCGGATGCCATCGGCCAGAGATAACTTTGTCCTGGTGCTGGGCAACGACAACACTTGGCAATGGCATTGTCAAATCGCCTGTAAAATAAAAGACACCATTGAATAAACTATACAAAATTAAAATTCATTAATCCTTACGTTGAAGATCAGTGAGAACGAGTTTGTTGTCGTATCCTGCTGTCAACAGATAGTAAGCTGATGGTGAAAATCTGATGCTCCTGATGTCAGCAGCATGAGGCTTGAAGCATTGAACAGTTCGACCCCCACGAATATCGAATAATACGCAACTGCTGTCTTCATGACCGGAAACGAGAAGTCTGCCTGATGGATCCACACAAATTGCTGCTACTGGACTGCCCACCTGTAACACCAATTGATGCAATCGTCCAGATGATATCAATGTTCATGAAATTTCAACTAATTCCACTGATATCGAATAAATAATCGGTCTTTCTCGGATAAAAAAATTAATTGATTATTCTTCGGTCCAAATAAAACGTTTATTAAATTTAAAATTTATTTCAATTTCGCTTTTTAAAAAATGGGACTTACTCGACTGCCGGGGACAGTTGCAGGTGTCACCATATTAACACATCCTCTGGTGCGAAGATCCCAGAATCTCACGGTCTTGTCCTGAGATCCAGATACAAACATCGCTCCACCCCAATTATAAAGGGTCAGTACATGACCGCTGTGACCACTGAGTGCTTGAAAAGGCGTTCCAGTTGCACAATCCGTGACGTATATTTTACAATCTCCAGCTCCACCACTTATCAACAAACTCGATTTATTCGACGTGTCCTCCAAGAAACACAAATCACGAACAGTACCATCGTGCATCGTGAGCTCGACCTCTTGACCTGAACACGAAAAATCCATTAAAGCTATTGCATTTAACTTTTTATTATTGCATCCCAGAATTAGTCATGATTGAAACCTTCGAGATTGGATGTATCGGCGTTGAAACGCATGAGTTTCACAGTTTTATCGTTGCTACCGGTGGCCATGAGTTGACCATCCGGTGTCCAAGCTAGACAGTAGATCGAGCCCTTGTGGTGTTTTGTTCTCTTGAAGAGAACAGTCGGTTGATAAGTCTCATGATCCTCTCTGAAATTTACAGAGCACTCGATAAATGCAGCAGGAGAAAATAATACAGGGAGTACTTTCTTTCACCTCGTTCTCAAGGTGTTATTTTCCTCGCTAATACGTTGGTAATTTATTCTGAATCTCCAGTTGAATAAGATAATGACGATAACAATCTTCAAAGTTTCCCTTTTGATTTTTTATTAATTTCCCTATTCATGTCCCGTGGGGGAATATTTTATTTCGGTTTAGGAGCGGTAATTAGAATTTTTGCATTGGGTTTTATTTTTATTTTTTGGTCGTCGGGTACTTACCGAACATCATGGAGTTTCGGGTAGGCACATATTCTCAATGTTTTGGAGTTTGATCCAACGGCGTACAATTTTCCATGTGGATGGAATTCTGCACACCTGACTGCTTGAACATCCTCTAGAGCTGTTACAGGAACGAATCGAGGCCTTCCATTACTTCCGCTGCTGCCATTCGTTACATCTACATCTGGCTTCGGCTCAGGCTGCAAGAAATTCAAAGAAATTCATTTTGTTCAAGCGAATATATCAGATAAACCGTGACAATTCGATTCACCTAACAGTTTTCGAGAAATATCTCGGAATCCATGGGAGATATCGAAATTTTCATAAAAATCTTTTTTGCAGCTCTCATTTTGCTGCGTGGAAAAGATTTATAGAGAAATTTCGCTATCTCTCATAGATTTTGGGATATTCCTGGAAAAAAATGTTCTGCGCGAAAGGGCGATCTGGGAATTGAAGATGTAGATCGGGAAAAAGAAAGTGTTTTGAAAAAGAAATTCAAATTCTGCTGAAATTTCCGGTCAGTACCTTTCGTGTAATTCAGTGGCTCGCGCAAATGCGGCCACAATTATGTACACCAATGGAATTGCTTTTACTTTCGACAATGATCGCCTCGTTGAACATTGTATACTAGATTTAATCAAGAGGAATCCAAAAGTCTCTGAATTTTCAAAATATTCCCCTGACCCGCATCGAGTCCACAATTTTCTAGAACCCCCCGAAAATATCGTTAATAACAAGTTTTCAAATTCGCAATTTCTACTTTAAAAACTCGATCTGAATTTTAATATCCGAATTAAAATTCGTGAATAGCAAATGGATGTTTAGCGGAAATCATGACGAAGTGGTTCTCAGTGAACAGCTGCGCCGGTGTCCCAGTTTTATGAACATGAAATCAAGATTCCATTTACGACTCCTGCCATCCTATCCATAAATTTTTGGTACAAAATTTCACGCACGAGATCTCTCAGCAGTAAAATTACAGAAAATACCCCACTCGCGTGATTATATCACAAAAGCTATTGAAAAATCGTTAACGATCGGAAGAGTAATTGTCAAAGAAGATATATTTCTCCTCTATTCATCGACTACTTGAGAATGAGGTTGAATCGATGATCTACGCTTTCCCAAACTCATTAATGAACCGGAAATGTTCGACTTCTCCCCCACCTGTTACACAACATCTTATATCTCCCCAGTCAATGTAACTGATAAAAAATCCAAATGAAACCCGAGATTTATCCCCAGAAGGCGGTAATTTTGACGTACCGTCACCGCCTCCAAGAGTCACTTCCGAAGATGACAGGTTTGAGTCGCAATTGCGCATTGCAATAATAAAACTTGACGAACTAGTTTCAGAATAACACCGATTCCCGCTGGAGCATAATAAACCGGTACTGCAACTCTGAATTAAAATATCCGATCTATATTTTAGGTGCCATTAGGCAGTCATTAAATTCCAGGATTTGATCCAATTTCACACCTCCGACTTGACTTTCACATTTCTGAATCATTCATCCGTTTTACGTTAAATAAGAGTGTGAATGGATAAATAAAAGATTTATCGTTAAAAACCGGTGGAGCCGATGAAAATTCAAATATTCCAATGATCAATTCCCCGGGATGAATAATCAAAGCATGACTCCAGATGATCCACTTCTCATCTAGGATATGCATGCAAGAGAGCGACAGTTGTTTTCATTGCGAAATTGGACAACTTTCGAATGAGCTTTCAGCAGTCGACATTCTAGTGACGGTAAAAAAAAAAAAGCAACTAGGGGAAAATTACAGTGCCAACGAGCCTCAAATATTGTGAGTGCTAATTACCCCAGTGGTATAACATTCACTCAGCAATAACAAGAATTAATTTACCATGTAACTTCCCCTTCGTCTAGAACACTCCTTGTCTCTTTTATGTCTTGCTCCACTGTTTCCATGAATTCTTGTTAAGCCTGTGCCACACTGATCACCTTCCAGGAGATTCTCCATGGATCTCCTGGAATTTCTGAAGTAGCTCTTCGAATTTGTTTTGACTCGATTGCCATTCTCGTCATTGTACTCATCCCATTCGCTGATTTCACTGCGCACATCCTCCAGAGATCGTGTTCTACCAACGGAGCAAGTGCAGGGTGGTACACTACTTCTTCCAGTACCCGAGCTTTTTGTTTTGCTTCTGGATTTATCCATGATCATCATTCGATTGGTGATGGCCATTGGTGGAACTTGAACAGTCAGTGCTGAGGATCCTATTGCATTTCTGTACATCGGTGTCAGGTAATAGTAATCACGATTTTTATTCGTTCTCATGGCTGGTGGTGGGTAATTGTAATCATGCGGGGGAATGTGAGGTGTTATCCATCGGCTGAGGGCTTCCATCGGCATCGGACGATAACACAAGGATGGACCACGAGTCGCTGGATGATTACGATACACTGGCCACGGGCGGTGCTTATCAAATCGCGAGTCCATCCTCGGATCCAGGATTCGAATATCACCCATTTGTATATTCTCAATTATCGAGTCGTTATTGAAATAGGCGGAAAGGTGAAATCCCTCGGTGACACGGGGGAAAAGTGAAAAGCTATCTCCAGAGAGAGACGATGAGATAAAAAAAAGAACTCGTATATTCGCTAGTGCGAGACAAGACTCGCACCTTGCGCACACGATTCACAGCTAGAAAAATACCTCAAACCTTTCTTCTTCTTCGTTAATTAGATGTTTCAATAACAAAAAATTTCTCGCCTGATTTTCACCACTTTCCAACGTTCCAACAAATCCCGGGTATCAAGTTCGTTTCTTATAATCTTCTGGGGATTATCTGGTAATTTATTTCTTATTTCTCTTCACTCACAGCAATCACAATCACAATCCACTTGGAATGAATATTGAAATAATTTATGGTATCACTAGAGTGCACTTTATCATTTTAAAATGATATCCCTCTTGAGAATGCATTTCCATTTATTTGATATTGGCAACTGTCAGTGTGACATTTCAACAGCTGGTTTGACTGAACTGCTCAGAGTCCTTTCAACGAGTGTGTACCCATCAGCATTCACCAGTAACTACTAAGCGAAGAGGTTCGACCCACTTCTTTTCTCTCGTTGTCCCCTCTCTCCTTCAATCACCATTTTTTAAACTTTCCTGCATACAAATAATCCCTGAACACTCTCCTTTAACTAGAAGGCTAATCAGCTTTACGACGCGTAATTATGTTTAATTATTCAATGATGATGATGTTATAACATTTTAAAAGAAACAAATTATTGTATTTCTCAATGGACAGGAGACTTTCACTTGTGGCACGCTCGTTTCACATGTTCTCGTTGTAGATCCAGTAGATTTCTGGTTAATTTCCGTTATTTGTTAATAGTCGGAGTTATCGGAATTATCGGAATTATCGGAATCATCGGAAGTGACGAATCGATATCAATCATCTTCCGATTGTACATCCGATTTGTCTGAGGTTTGGTTAAATAATTTTAGTTGTAGGATTTTATTATTTTGTTGATTGATTTTGTTTTCTAGTCCCATGACCTCGATAAAATACATACAAATAATTATACCCTTTCGCTGGGTAGATGTGGATAAAAAATTTGCGATCTACTTCGCCGTTTTCATTCGCATGTTTTCATTTTCTTCATTTTTAGGTATAACGATCATTTCCCTGTCGTACCGAGTGCTATCATCCGTCACGACTGTATAATTTCGTCGATTGGACCACTCAAGCGGCTCCAGAGTATCGAAAGTCATCTCAAAAATGGGTCAGACGATTTGCAAAGTGGGGGACTGAGAGTTCTCAACGCCTAGTTATTGATAAAGTGTTTTCGATTCGAGAAAGTTGACGAGTCACGGAGACGAAAATTGTTATAATAATAAATATAAAAATTCAATGAAGATCTGCGGATAAAAATTCACGAGCGAAAAACTCCATAGTAAAAAAAAAACTGAAGACTGGGCGATATTCTTCAGTTAATTGAAGGCATGAAAAAATTATGAATGCCAAATGTATGAATTATTCTGATATAAAAACAAATGTTAATATGACGGGAAAAAATCAAGGCAAATGGAAATAAAAACGGTACAAACAACTGCCCACGTGCCAACGAAGAAGGAGATGATCGTATTCACGATCTGTTGTCAACAAAGGGAATTATTTAAATGCTAGAATAATTTTCGTAGATCTGGCCTCGGTAGAATTATGCAATCCAATTAACATTAAATAATTGAAGTACATCGAAGGGATGACCTCGTCAAAAAAATGTGAATTGAAACTGAAACAGTACAAACAGCGCCTTGAACTCTCCCACACAGTGAAAATTACTTGTGAAATTCCATCTTCAACAACACGGGAAGTTCAAACGACGGGAACTTTTTATTTTTCCGTTTACGCTGAGTTTAAACTTTGATTTCTCCTCTAAACCGACGAAGTGAAATGTTATTTACAATCCGAGTCTCTAAAAATTACCAAAACGATACGAAACATTTTGGCTCCCCCATGCTATTTATTTTTCTTTCATTTTTTCCTCAGAAGAGACCGGTGACTAAGTCTCTTCAAGTGTAAACGGGGTCTTGTGTCCATGCATGGCACTGGAATTACGTCATCGTCTCGCCTCGACATCAACCGGAATGAGTACCAAAGTCGTGATGATAAATCGTCATGACGATAAATCGATAAAATACCTTATCACTTTCCTCCCAAATGGGATCATCCCATCCCCCAGACGATCCCGAGGATCCCCTACGTCCAGCATCCCAGGAGAGTCTTTTAAATCCATCCAATGAATCCGTGGAGTATCTCCTCCTGTCGCCAGAACCTCCAGCTCCATGGAGATCACCAATCTGGCTCTTCCCCGAGTGCTCGTTATCACTCAATTTTACACTGAGATTTCCCCTCGCATTTCTATTACTCCCAGACATACAACTCTTCAAATTTCCACTAGATCCACTCCCCGGTGTGTCACTATATATTTTCTGAGTGGAATTCATCGGTGGACGTTGCAGACTCGTCATCGATTTGGCGACATAATCCCTTTTGAGAGTGGAATTAAATCCACTGGTGTTGTCCCTCTTGAGGCACCCCATAGAGCTCCCCATAGAATTTTTCTTCAAAGCACTTTCCTTTCTGGCATGATTAATCGTGCCCATTGATGCGGTCAATGGATCTCTCCGAAGAGTACTGGGAAAACTCGAAGGATGAATTTCCCTCTTCATCGTGGAAGACGTGCCAATCGAACTTCGCCGCCCAAGAAAATTCAAATTGTCCCGGACCGGACGATTTGTGCAATTTTCCTTCGAGTGTTTACCATGGATATTGCAACAGCGATCGATTTTCTTATCGATTATCACTTGACAATCGTGTAATTTAACGTCCCTGAATAAAGCTTCAAGCCTGCCAATCGCTGCCTGCTGATGCGACATTTTCTGATATCTCGTCGATGAATCGGTTGCGCTGGTGAATTTAGACAAGTGTTAATTTGATTAAAAAAAAAATTGTATGCGTCTCAATACACGTCCGGCGAGTCACTGGAGTGTGGGGAACAACACGGTGTCTCCTGTCTCAACTTTTTCCCCCTCCAATATCAATTTCTCGAGGTTTTTCGCGCTGAGACCAACTCACCATATTAGGCCAAACTGCCGAGGATTATGCTGAGGAAATAAAATTAGCGCAGCTCCCTCAGCATCTGTTATTTGTTAAAACAATATCATAACTCATTTCAGCTAGTTTGCCTAGTCTGCCTAGATTGCCAAGATTGCCTGGATTGCCTAGAATTTCCTAGAGTTTTCAGAGCTCCTAGATTCACGTTTTCTCAGTCGCGTCGACGTCTTGATGAATGAAAATGCAGAAATTACATCGGAATAAGATGTAGAGTTCAATCTAAATTGTCGTAAAAAAAATAATGGATACTTGTGCAATGAGCCTACCTACTTAGGAACCAGACGGCCAATGTAACGGGTCATCACTGGATACATGAACTTGCACGTGCAAGTCAAGGAAAAGGACATAAAAGTTTATAGCACCGTGAACTCAAGGTAGCGTGGAATGCTGCCAGATCCACTCAAATGTACATTTACTGTTGGCTAAACTCAAGTATCACAGGGTCAATGTTTGAATATCTCTCAACGCGTGTCATCTTCGCGTTACTTTCATTAACCAATATCATAAATACCAATTAAAAAATCAACAGAGAAATTTCCACTTGATCAGCGAAACCCACGAGTATTAATCCTTCTCTAATTAATTTATTTTTCAGACTAAAAAATTATGACAGGGGCATGCACAGACTGTCAATGTCAGATTACCAATTACCAAATTGTCAACTGGTTGATCTGACGCCTACGAAATTATACGTCGATAGCAGTTCACCTTGTGCGAAGAATCATTTGAAAAACAAAAAAATATGTGGATTGCGGGAAGACGATATGTTGGTATGAATTTCATTGTCGTTTTGTCTCTCGGCGCGTGCATTAATGAAATTGCTTAATGAACTTTTGAGACGTGCATTGGGTAGATGTAGGAGAGATAATTTTTATCTGTGTCGTGAATCATCGTGGGGGAGAAGGAGACAAGAGGCTCTTCATCGAGGAATCCACCCACATTTCAATAACTTTTCGATGTTAATTTGAATCTTTCCGTGATCTAATGCGTCTTTGAAGTTCGATTTGTCCGGATGACATCAATCCCGTTGAAATCAATCATTCCTATGACGGAATATTCGGTTCCAAGAATGTAATCATCCTAACAGGTATTATTGTTTATTTAAAAACATCGTCTTTTTATTTTGAAGACTGGCAAAGCAGTCATGCGATAAAACGACTGGTTTTCCATGGAATCACACACTGAATTGATAAACTAATCCCCTCAAATCCCAATTGATTCTCTGAATCACCTGATGCCTTTAAATGTTTTAATTGTACACTCTGAAATTATTCTGCAGAAGAAAAAATAGAATCGCCCTCGTTTGCGGAATGAGTCGTCATTATCGTCCCCTTTACGTCAATTTTGGTATTTTGTGTCATTGGTGTGGCATTACGATACTCGAATCGGTTTTGTAATTGAGATCGGTTGGCGAGTCGATAATAACAGCGATTTCTTAATTCTATCCTTACCTTGACTGAATTCACTACGTCGTAATGATCATCTGGAAGTCTCGATTCGTACGCACTCGCATGCTGTCTCCTGGAAAATTAATAAAAAATAATTAATTTTAATTCAATTACGAGTCAATGACACAAAAAAATTCATTCGATCACTTACGACATGGGATCGACGCCATTGAGTCCAGGTTTCGGCGATTGTATTCCCGATCTGTTGGGTGTCCCCGGGTGCACGGGCGACGGTCCTTTGCACGGTAAATTTGACTTGAGCCTTGAATAAAATTAAATTTCATGATTAAAGACGATTTAACAACTCTCCAACAATTGCTCCGCAAGATAAATACGCGTAATTCAGTTTAGAGACTTTTTAGAGTAAAAAATCGTGTGAGTATTCGTGTTTTTACCGATTTGCGGTGGGTGTGATAAATCGAGATGTCCGCAAGCTACAGCTCTGGCAGTGTCCATCGATTTGACCGTAAACAGGTCGATTGTTAACCGAAACACTGACTCTCTCGGCGATACGGAATCGAGGCACAGTTGGTTTATGGTACATCATTTTTTAATCGATTGAAAATAATAAACAAGCGATTTAAATTCCAAGTGAAATAATACGATTGCACCACAGCATCTCACGATGTAGTCTCACACAGTATATCATATCGCAATGCAACTATGCGTCGCACAAAGATTAACCGATGCAACGAGAGTGTAGAGTACAACTGGAGAACACAAAACAGCTTGAACTGCAGTTAGTTGCTGGCTTCCCTCGCCACAACAACAAAACTATATGTTAGCCAACGCCTCCATCGCTCGCTTTCATTTATTTATGTATGTGTGGTCTTGAAAATGATATCAATTACACAAAACGCGAACTGACTGACTCAAAAGACTGTTTTATCCTCGAGAGATGGGTTGCTTTTGGCGTTAAGAACTGGCCAGAATAATTTTACTTGTAAAAATAAAGAAAATATGTTCTTTGTCTACTCTGATAAGACGAGAACACGTAGCAGCTGTCGCATGCAGCAGTCGAGGGGACGCTGTTATTTCTTTCATTCCTTGATGTCTTTAAAACAATATATTGCTTATGGGTGAAAATAAATTACGGGTAGGACTATAAAACGATTGAGGGGGACCGCATTCGATGCTGTTCACCATTAAGAAAAAATTTTGCACTTGACATTTCGCGTTGGGGTAATTTTAGCTCGTTAGACGAAATAAACCAACGCGCGCCCTCACTTCTCGCCCATTTGCCTCTCGCCTCGTCTCTGAGTTTTTATACGGTTCGTTATTAACTAAAATCGGTCAATTAGCGGAGGGTCGAGATAATTAATGAGATAACTGTGGTAATTGCTCGAAATAACTTACGTTTCGTTTTGCAATCTGTTATCCACCAATTGGGCAGATATTGGGGCAGATAATTGTCGGACTAGTTCGTCTCTCTCGCGCTCTTTCAGTTGAATTGTTTCTTGGAGTCTCTGCTTCTGCTTTTGGTACTCTTTGAATAAATCACCGTTGTAACTCTGTTCGAGCTGTTGCTCGCCAGTTGTCACTGGGCCTCGACTAGGCATTAGAGTGGACTCTGGAGTCTTCGGAGGAACTCCCACGGTTTTTTCCGCGAGAGAATCTCTCCTAGAACTTCTTGCGGTTGAAGGAGCAGGGGATTCTCTACCCGGGACACGTCGTTCTGGTGTTGATGCTGCTGAGGGATCAACTTTGCCTGATAAAAAATATTTATTTGCAATGTGAAATCATTGTAAATAGTAGGTTTGCATTTTTCAGACATGCAAAATTCTTGTAATGGAATTTTTATTGATTTTGGATTTTTTGGTTTTTTCCGTGAACCTCCAAAAATTACGTCATAATACGAAGGAAAGACCTCATCTGAGGGGGATCAAGCCCACAAACTTAGAATAATAATAGAATAACAAAAATCATATACAACGGACCATCAGGACTTTTGGATTTTCCTCGCGCTGTGTTAAAGCTGCACTTGGAGTGCGCAGCATTGGCGATAGCCTCCTGTATCGATGGCAATTGTTGAAACTCAGCGTAACTAGAGCTCAGGAAGACATCCCCCTCATTCTCAAAGAGTCTATCAACACTTGTATTCATTAATTTATTATTCTTAAATCCAGTCAGATGAAAACTGGCGAATGACGATCGGGACATGGGATTTATGTCACCAGTGGACAGTGCCATAAGGGCGGCCGATGGTAGAGTGGCATTTTTTGGACCGGGACTTCTCGGCCTGAGCCCCTCAAGCGCGGGTACCAAACTCCTGGACATCATGTCCGCAGCTGATCTAGGCCGCGTAAAGGGCATTGCACTGTGGGGAAAAGTCTTTGGTTTTATCGGTGTTATGAGCATGTGTTCAGTCCACGACGTCTCCAAGGAGGGTTTCTCCAGTCTCTCAACATCGACATTGAGTGTTCGCTGGGCAAACGGTACAGCGAATGTCTCTGGTGGAATACTTTGGAGCCACGAGAGAAGACTCAGATCGGAATCACTGAAACCTACTGAGCCGTCCAGTAATCTCGAAAAACTCATCTCCACCTGCAATAATTACGTTAGAAAAATTATTAGTTTATTAATTATTGTCTTGACGAATAATGGGCTATTGTTTTGTTCACCTGTTCGCTCTCTTTGGATCCCGTGGCCTTAGCCTGACAGTAATTAACACATGACTCGTACAAAATCCCCTTAATAATCAGTTGGATCAAACGATCATTTTTGGCCGAAGTGATGGGATGATTTGGATCAGTCTTCCTATCCCCAGGTAAAAACTTCTCAACGAGAGGATGAACCTCCCGAAAACACTGGACCCTAGCATTGCTTGGATTCCAATCCTTGTACTGCAAGTGATCAGTCAATCTCGGCAGAGTAAGGAGCAAACACAAACTGCTGTACTCCTCTTTCGAGGGTGCAACTTTTTCAAGGTCACTCAGTACTTTAACCACTTCCTCAACGGCATTGTCAACATTACCATTAGCACCGGTAATGACATTGGCCTCGGATTTAATACACAGTAGCTCGACGTACTTGTGTCGAAGTATGGAATAAGTAAATTTTCGCATGTCAAAGTCTGGAAGTGCCTCCAGTGGCTGAATAAACTCCAGCACATCGTCCCATTGTCCGTCGAGAATTAATTGTCGTAAAAATAGAACATCGTCGCTGTATTGGCCGTTTATAACTCCGGTTTCACGCTCCAGTGATAATTGAGATATATGGAGATCACGGCTGTGAAGAAATTCAAGAGTTAGACGCACCACGTCCTCCTCACGCAGCGTCAGGTGCGCCGCCGGCATCACGTACCGAATCCGCAACCTGAAAAATTATAATTGCGTTAAATAAATGGTCTTCAGAATTTTTTTTTATAAAAAAACATCAATAAACATCAATTTTCACGTGAATATGTACATGAGAAATACTAGAGGAACGCAAATCTGTATTTATTTTGTTTAGATAAAATTCTTTTTCGTCTTCACTCTCTCAATCTCAGGGTGCACCTCCGGACGAGTACTCACTGGTGCAGATTGAAGCCTCTGGGTGGTTCCCTTTGAAAACCACAGAAAGGTACTTTCCGTATTCAAAAGGGCGCAGTCTCTCAACTCCTGCCATAAATCCGCAGTTGGCTCCACTATTTGTCTAGTCTAGCCTTTTTATTTGTGATTATTGGTATTTTAAGATAATGTATAACCGATTTCGCTATTTTTTTTTCGCTTGAAAAATAATTTACTACTGGGGAAGTCGCGGTGATGCTAATGTTTTCATTGAAAACATTCACCTTTGACCCGGTCTTTGGTATTCCAGGCGAGTTTGCACAAGTAAATGGAAAAACCACCGACAACTACCTCTTCCCTCTTTTCCCTCCTTTCAAACCTCTTCTCTTCACCAACACCAGCCTACATAACACCTGCATGTGCCCTAAAAAATAAATGGCACGTAGGAAATGAAAAATAAATACCAGATTCGCCAGAAAATCCCAACGATTTGTCATAATTTAATGGGAGATTTACCGATTCACCGATGTGAATACAGTAATGATAATAATATTGTAATGAGTGGCCATCGAATGGAAAGTACGCAGAGGCGGATGTAAAGCGGAACCGGAAGTGCGTGTCACCGAGTAAACAAAATTACTCAGCGCCCACCTAATTTTGTCCACTTTGTTTTTTTTTTAACGGGAGTTTAAGAGAAAAATGACGGAAGATTCAGGGAAAAGTGGGGGATGTGTTCTTTAATTTATTGGATTTATTTATCTGGCAAAATCGGGGCCGAATGGCTTCTCATAAGTTAACTGACGTGCCGAGACGTTTCTTAGTGCAATGCTCGTTCCGGCCCAGAGCTTTTTTCATAATTGATCAAGACATGTGTGTGTCAGTGGTCGTGTGCGTGTGCACCAATATCAATTTTCTTGAGAGGAAAAAAATGATGAAGCCATTTTTTATTGCAATGAAAATTCCGTAATCAACAATTACATTACATTACATTACGTTATCACAATTTCTTCAAAATATCACTGAAAATCCCAATATTTTGCTGTTTTATTCCACAATATTCATAAATAATATACAATAATCAATCAATAATTAATAATAAGATAAAATCTCTGGAAATTTTACCAGGAGATGATCACGAATAAAAATTTCAACAGGTGTAATTCATTAGAGAATAATGATTCATAAATTTAACGGCTGATACATGAAGTAGGTTCGAGACTTTCGACCGTTGATTTTCATGTCACCAAGAGATTTCCCCCTGATTTGGTCTCTCCAAAGGAAAACGTTGTAAACAGCCCGAGGGATTTCACCGACCTGGAATTTTCAGGGGCGATTTTTCCCCAGGGGCTATTATTCGATAAAAAAAAGACTCACCTGCCGAGTGTATCCTCGGAGATATCCTCGACAATCGAAACAGTGGAGGATGTCACCACGACCATTGTACCCTCATGGCATTCCAACAGACAAATAGCAGTATTCAAAATAATATAAATCCAAGGCATTAACTCGACAGCCTCTCGATGCACTCGACAAATGACATCTGAATAATGAAATAAGGTGAAACAGCACTAACGCGATCCGATGAATAAGAGGTAGTGAATCAAACTGAAGCTGTGCAGCGAGTGCAGCGCATTCACCTCGTGTGCAGCACGATAAAGTACTGAGACTCCACCACTGCATATAACTATCTCCACGTGTATTTATTGTGCAAAAGTAAAATGAGAGGTAAATCTCGAGACAAAAGGCCCGTTAAATTCGATTTTTCATCGAGAATCAATTCTCAAGACTCTGAGAATTCAAATGAGTAATAATGAAATTCAATTACCGTTAATCGCGATGTCAATTGATGACGCGAATTGTAGGAAATTTCAGATTCTGGGGGAGAATCAGCGCAGACTGTTCAATCATCACCGCTTGTTAATTAAATGTTCATTAATCTGTCACGGGAGTCTGCACCCCTTCCTCGTGGGCTCTGGAGATGGCAAAAAACGTCGTATCAATTTCACGTCTTAAACGTCACAGTCTAGATGTTATAGAACTCATATAAGTGCAGTAGTAAAAATCCGTTAGTGATTTTTTTACTTGAGAAGAAAATACAGAGCAGATTAGGGTGAAAGGGATGGAGATGATGGTCCAACGGTGGATCTGGTGGGGCTTTGGAGACTTTGATGAAGACTTTGGGTGGAATAAATGGAATTTGAAAATCAGACAATGACTTGTGGTCATAGAATGTCTCATACCGATTCGCGAAACCAAATGTGATTCACCCACACGTGTTTCTTCGTCATCTGTACGGAGACATGCGCAGAGAAATTTTTAAGACTGTCATCTAAATTCTCAAGGGAATATTGAAGAATCCGTAGAATGGAAATTTGTATTTATAACAAGGTTATCGTTCCTGTTCTTAATCCATCGAATTATTTCCCACATACAGAGACAAAATATACGGATGGATAACGGAATCTTTCACCCTTTCCTCCAAAAACTCGTTTCCATTTTGTGATATGATCTCTAAAGTTCTGGATAAAAAAATACACAGGATGCAGATTGTCTCGGAACTTTAATGAACAATTGTACATGTACCTGAAGAGAGACAAATTAATCTAATTACTCTCTAAAATGAATTTAGAGGGATCTAGATGTAGAGAGCTAATGTCAGGATCAGGAGTTGATGTTGGATTATAAAAACTTTAACGATTATTTTGTGAGAATTACGAGTGCAGACTTGCAAGTTATAAATCATCAGAATGTCTCAGGTGTCCAAACATAACGGTTGTTTATTCACATCTTCCTTCTGTCCACTAACTGTTGGTTAAATCACCTTCATTAATAATTAACTATTGATTTTGCGAGGAGACCTGCAAATTAATGAATACTGGAGGCGTTGTTTTAGGTTATAATAAATTAAAGTGAATTATAGATTATTGACTCTAGGATTTTCTCAAAAAAGATAGAGTAAATCTAGTGGACCATAACAAGTGAGACAACCGCTAGATGAACTAGATGGAATGGAAATGATTTCCAATGAGTAGAAAGTGCTTATTATTGACGTTCTATCTGTTCGCATGTACGTAATGACAAAATTACACTAATTAATCGGTAAATGACGACGGAATTGTAGGAAATCGTGGGATATGACAAGGGAATTGTACCAGAGTAACTGGGAGGTTGTGAATTTCGAACGAGCAATTGAAATGAGGAGTGACTTATGTGAATGGGACGAGTTGTATTTCAAATACAGTAATGATGTAACATTTGCTGAATGGCGCGTAAATAAAGGCTTACTTACCGATGTCTCAGGCAAAAAACGTCACGATAAGTACACTAATACACATGCAGCATTCAATTACACCTCTTTTTCACAGTATGACACTAGCCGCTGCTAGAAAATACCTGTCTAGATATTCTAGTTACTTCGGGCCGCGGCTGGAGGGATTTTTTTCCCCGAGTGGGGATTTTACGCCCTCCCACTTTGCGGTAGGAATAAAAAGCTCAAGTCTCTCTTCACGTTCGTGTCGGTAATTCCGGGAATTTTTGTAAAAAATTTGGATTTTCAAATTTCAGTGAATACCTTCTCCATTTTCATGCTGCACTGATACATTTTTGAAAAATTCTAATTTTTCAATTCCAGTGAATAACTCCTCGATTTTCATGCTCCCCTGATACATTTGTGAAAATTTCGAATTTTCACATTTCAGGGAATACCTCTTTAATTGTCATGCTCTCCTGATACTTTTTCAAAAATTTCGAATTTTAACATTTCAGTGAATAACTCTTCAATTGTCATGCTCTCCTGATACTTTTTAAAAAATTCCGAATTTTAACATTTCAGTGAATAACTCTTCAATTGTCATGCTCTCCTGATACTTTTTCAAAAATTTCGAATTTTACCATTTCAGTGAATAACTCTTCAATTGTCATGCTCTCCTGATACTTTTTCAAAAATTTCGAATTTTAATATTTCAGTGAATAACTCTTCAATTGTCATGCTCTCCTGATACTTTTTCAAAAATTTCGAATTTTAACATTTCAGTGAATAACTCTTCAATTGTCATGCTCTCCTGATACTTTTTCAAAAATTTCGCATTTTAACATTTCAGTGAATAACTCTTCAATTGTCATGCTCTCCTGATACTTTTTCAAAAATTCATTTTTTCAGTAAATGAATCGAAAAATTCTGAGCAACTTTTCAGAGAGCGGGGTAGCCACAGAAAAAATAGAGATACAATCGTTTTTTTCACCTCTTTATTACAAATAATGCGATTGCAATAAATACATTCCATGCGAGTCAACGCAAAGTTCTTAAATTACGGGCTCCATTTTATTCTGTATAATTCAATAAAAAGTAAATAATTGAGCGATACGCCGTGGTGACGTATCCAAGTTCATATGGAAAAGTATAAAATAAAAATGAAAAATGATTGGAATTGAAAATACAGTGACATTTGACGTTGAAACCGGACGATTTACAATTAATCGTCGGCTTCATCGAGATCTAATTCACAAAATGGACACATACTCTCAGACTATGATTTTTCCTGCTGTTTCGTTTTTTAAATAAACAAAAATGGTTCTCAGTTCCTTATACATAATTTTTATAACTCCTAATTAATTTTCCAATGTTTCCCACTTAGAAAACGATCAATTGTCCAACGCCGATACGTTTTCGGTTCAATTTATGTACTCAATCACAAAAAAAAAAAACCAACATAGAAACCGATGACTCTCAGAACACAAAATTCTATGACGTTATTATCGACACTTGATGAATGAATCCAATGTCAATTCCACAGCTGTAATTACATTTATATTTTAATAATACGCTAATTTTAGCCTCATCCGTAGTCTTTTTTCCAATGAGACACATGAGGAAGATTTAGAAGGTGTGAGCGTTGCGACAAATGCCGCAACCAAGGGCGAATTCCTCTCCAGTGGGCGGATGTTTAACATGCAATGGACACTCGTCACCTTCCAATTGTTTTGCTTTAGGACCTGCGGATGAATAAAATCGTAAAGCAATATTAACTGGATTCTAAACAAGACATACAAAAAATCTGACAGTTCTTTTACTATTCCATTCGGGAATTTTTCCCGTTTTGAGACTGAATAGTTTCTTTTTAAAGACAATAGTATTTTTCACGCCTAGGACGGAAAAAGGGAATCTTACGGATGCGACTTTATATTATATTATAACGCGCATGAGTCAGAATCACTTTTATGCCATCGGTGCCCGTAATCGCGCGATTCTAACCTCGCTTCGCTCGATTAAATCGCGGATTCCGGGCGCGATGACATAAAATTTTTTTCGCCGTGGCTATGATGCTATTTTATGTCATTGTGGCCGAAAACGCGTTTTTATCCGAGCGAAGCGAGGTTAGAAACGCGTTTTACCGGCCGCAATGACATAAAAATTATTTAATTAAGATAATTACCCGCAGGACAAGATGGTAGTTCGCTCTTTGGAATATTCGTGACACGTTGAAAGTCGTCGTGGCAGGGATTGCAGAAGTGTGTTGTCCCGAAGCAGAAGAAGACAGCTGTTGAGCAGCAATAGCGACATTTGTACTCGAGAAAATCCGCTCCGTGCTTAGGACACATCTGAGCCCTTGCCACGTCACTGCATCCACCGCATACCAACTCGGTGGGATCAAAGGATTCACCACCTAGCTGAGCATCGCATCTCGCTTCACCCCCATAATACGCCTTCTGACACTTGTAACATACGTAATAAGCGTAACGATCCATTGCATAAGCCGTTGGATTCTGATAATAACGACCACCAGGTGCAATGACAGCCTCTGCCTTGTGCAGACCCTCGTACTCGAGTCGCATAAGTGCCTTTCGTCTTACGTCGGTGTAAAGTTCCTTTATACTAGTCAGATGTTCAGTCAATGTTGGATGCTCCATGGAGACTTTGCAAATGGGGCACAACGAAAAGCCAAATGTTATTCTCGGTCCGACCCATCGCTTCATCAGAACATTTCTGCAGCAATGGATATGGAAAACGTGTCCGCACTGGAGTTGAATAGCTGGAGCACATGATAACGCCTCAGTGAAACAAATCATGCACATGTCGTCGGCATCTTGTTTCAACTGTGTGCTGTCTGATTGACACCTGTGAAGACAGGGTAAACAGTTCTTCTCACTTCTGACACCGCCACAAATGTGTCCGCAAGTATGGATTTTACTGCACGCATTCTTCGCGTGTTCCTGGCACTCGTGATCGGAGCATATGTTGCCGATGGCGAGAAGTCCAGTGTTACCTGTCGTTCCGCAGAAGCGACAAACACCGGAAGTTGCTCCGACACTTTTTCTCGGTGCACCATCTCGAAATTCAATGAGTGCTTTCAACGTTCGACTGTCTGCCAGGGCAAGAATCCAGAAGAGTTTCGTTCTGCCGCACCCCTCGTGCAGATCGACCCTGATTGCCTCCTCCTCCTCCTTGCACACCTGACGTATGTGCACTCTCGTTCTTCTGTGGAGATGAAGAACTCTGTCGCAATCGCTGCACAGATTTCCGCAGATGTTGCATTGAATGATAGCTGTTGTTTCGCCATCGTCGTGATTGCTGCAGGTTGGCCTCGGCGGTGGCGGTTGTCCGTCCATCGTGTTCCATTGTCCCGAGGACAGCCTCTCCACATGATCGGAATCAAGAACGCATAATGATGAAAGCGCCAGCCAAATTGTCGGAGACTTCAGGCACTCCGTAGGCTCTCGAATCTTCTCATCTAGTCTCGTCAAATTCAAGATATTCTCAGCAATCGCTGCTTTGGTAACTGATGCCCACGCATCTGACAATTTTCCCGACGCCATGTCCTTCAGCAATTGGATTATCACTTCAGCTAGTTTTCGAGTCATGCATCCTCGCAACCACCACCTGGAGCCTAAGAAACTCTTCGGATGAATACTCGTTGCTAGACTTATCGTTTGCAGAGCTTTTCCGTTCTCTTTCCCTTTAACTTTCACCTGAACAGTCAATGCCTTTGCAATGCAACTCAGAAAAACGTCCAAAATTCCCGGCGAGTGCTCGTCAAAACCCGCAGCTCCGCAGTAATCACTATTATTCACTGCTGATATTATACTGAAATCAGTGGGCGGTAATCTCTCTATATTCAATACACTAGCCAACGATTCTGGTTTTATTTCCGGTAGAATTCTTCTTAACAGCGATGTCACTTGTCTCTGAACTCGAGGTGAGCCTGTATGGAGAAGACTCAGCAGATCCCTCAGTAGACCGTATTGATGTGACAAGTAATTCCGTCCTACAGAACTGCCACTCAACGCAAGTACCATCGACAACATTTCAAAGCAATAAGTGTCCGACGCTTTTTGAATATCACTCGAGTCACTCATAAGACTGTTAATTGGAGTTGGTGAACATAAAAGATTCTCCCACTCCTCACGGAGTCGTGCACTTTCCTTTCGAATCGCCTGAACAATGTGTGCACAAACCTGTTTCTGAAGATGCGTCAATTTACTCCGACTGAACAGTATTCCAACCATGTGCTCACGAAGATCATGACTGTCCTCCAATTCATCATTACTAGTCTCCCCCTGTTCCTGCTGTTGTTGTTGCTGCTGCAGCAGCTGTTGCTGTTGCTGATGATCACCTTGAATGAGTTTTCCAAAGACCTGAGAGGTGATCAGTCGAAATACCTTGAGAGTCTCGGCCTCGCAATTCCGTTGTTGAATTGTACTGGAGCTCAATTGCCTGCCAACTCTCAGTGATTCCCCATCGATCTCCCCCAGGACTCGAATTTGACGGATTCTCAAGGAATTGTCGGGTCCTTTGAACTCTAATCCGATTATGTTGTGCCTTGCGTTTGTTATGGGACAATTTATCCATCCGGCCGATCTACTTTCAATCTCCACAGACCGTAATTTCACCATTTCATCGAGATTCAAGCCAGATTGAAAAGTAACCGTGGATACTTTGTGCGTTAAATCCCGACAATTGTCGATGTGAATGTAAACAATCCTTGGAAATGTATGGGCTGAGCAAATGATATTGATGATTTTCGTTTTATTTCGGTCCTCGTCTCCCGATTCCCAGAACGTCTCCGTAGAATTATCAGTGAGATGTCCAATCATTGGCTGACGACTCGACGCTTTAATCTCAACTCCACTAGTTAAATCTCTGAGTGCCTCAACAACTGAAGTTATTTGTTGTGAATAATTCGAGTGGTGACTCTCGTGCATACTCATGGTAACGTCTTCCTCCTCTTCAGATCGGGATAAGATCTTGCTGATGTTACTGAATACGTGACTGCGATGAAGAAACACATGATCCGCCGGTGTGAATTTTATTCCCCAGCATCGTACAGCTGCTTGCTGAAGTGGAGATCCAGGTGCTGGCAAGAGCATGAGATCAGCGATTGTCTGGAGAAGAGTGTGAAATGCAACTCGCAGTGGATTAGCTGCCTCTCCAGCGATTACCAAATCACTCAAAGGATGCTCACATATTCCAGACATGTCCTGATCGTCCTTCTTCTCGATTTCCGTTTTACTCTCGTCATCGGGTGTATCCTGGGGCTCTTGGGCAGGTGTCAGAGACGCTACGAACCACCAGAGAAGATCGTGCAAGCAAATTGGTTGTGTTACACTTCGCAATAACCAGTTGAAGGCCTGCATAGCGTACACTCTGCACGCAGCTCTTCGTAATGCCTGCTTCATAGCCAATTGTACGTGTTGAAGATTGTGCTGCTGCAGGACAAATAGCAGGACTGGCCTCATGAGGATGTCTACTCTATCGGTCGTTGGTACATCATTTTGACTCGATACTATCGCTGATTGATCCATCGATGGGACTAATTTTTGAAGTGCTGCTGATGGATAGCAGAGCAATGACGAGCCAGCTTCATTATTCATTTCACTGCTGCTGTTGTTGCGCTTTCTCATCATCACGACTCTTCCATCGTTACTATTTCTTGACCAGGGTGCACCAGTGGACATTGACACTGACCGATGAAAAACACCACGAGTCTTTCCACTCTCCGAGTCACTGTCACTCATTGGGCATTCAGATAAAGGCCTTCCCGTTATAGTTACAAAACTATTGTTCCCTTCATAATTATTTGACTGTCCATTGTGACAATGTCTGAGCGTTTCCTCGTAATATTTGTCCTCATGACTCAGTGAGTGATGAACACCCAAGGCTTGGAGGCACTGAAATGGGCCAGTCGGTGGAAACGGCCCAGCCTCCGGAGGACTATAATTTTCAGCAACTGATGACAAAGTCTGAGAGGGTCTCCTCTGTTGCTTTGGTATATTGACACCCGAGGCACTTGACAGGTCTAATAAAAATATTGCATTATTCTTCATAACTATGTGACTCTCGTTTCCACCGGGACTGGCCATTGGTGACAACAGACTCTTACCTCTCTTCCTCGTAACACTACCAATTAATTTTTTTCCACTCTTATTTTTACGCGCCTTCAGGTAATTATCACGACAAGAATCGCATATTAGGTACCAACAAGTGCCACCGAAATCACTGTCACCGCAATTTCCTGCCCATCCTGAACAGTAGTTACCGACATTGTTGTATCCCATACCACCAGAATGCCAGCCACATCCTGGATGCATTGTCTTCATGTGATAAGTAACTGGATGAGGAAACATGAGTCCACACAATTCACAGGTCGTCTCTAACTCCCCTGTCCCCTCCAAAGGGCTGATTTTTCCCATTAGCTTGCCCCAATCTTTTTTCTTTCTATGCAATTTTTTCTCCTTCTCCTTCTCCTTCTCCTTCTCCCTCTCCTTCTCCTTCAACTTCTCATCCTTTTCATTTTTATCATAACTCCGTTTAGGAGTTTTAATTAATTGTGATACGGGACTGGGTAAAATCGTCTGCTGATCAATAACTTGAAGACAATTAGTACTGAGTTCCTCCCACAGAAAAACGAGACTCTTCAAGGCGGGTGGAAGTATAGCCACGGTGTGACACTCAGGTAATGCTATTAATTTATCGGATATTTCCTCCTTTATCGAGGATGTATCCTGTTTTTTTCGATTACGATTGGCATTGGCACCTGCCGCTGATCTCGTCAATGTCTCGAGAGTGCTTGGTTGAATGTGCAAATAGCTTCCAGCATTTGTCACTTCCACCGAGTGCCTCTGACGTGCTCGTTGCTCCCTGGTGAGTTCCTCTTTTTTTTTATCATTCGCCTGAACCACTGGCTGTCGTGTGACAACGAGAGCGCCATTTTTCGGAAGTGTTGGATGAAATTTGAGAAAACTCGCGCATGCCATTGCATCGTGAACGATTCCCTCGTGCCAAAGGAATGCAGCAAATACCGCACGCAGACACTCAGCAACTGATGGACTGATGGCTTCCTTGACTTTTTCTCTACTCAGAGGCAATGATCGGACTGGATTTGGCGATTGGGCGTTACTACCTGGAGATATGGCACGTTTAGCACGAATTTTAACTCCACCCTTGCCATGATCCCTTCGAGTTACTTTTGGTGAATGTCTCTCCTCCTTCGTTCCCGATGTTCCTATGCTGAAGTGACCCCTCATCGCTGTCGCTGGTGAATCTGGACTCGTTTGGGTCTGCGCCTGAGACATCTTTCTCGTCTCCTGGCTATCCTGTTTTAAATAACGAGAATAGTTATCCAAGTCGTTTGGAGCTATTTCAATAAATTAAGATTGAAATAACTCTTACTATTCGCTCCTTTTTGGGTGTATCCGGAGGACTGGCAATGCTCCCTTCGGATCGCATGTGCAGCGAACTCCCACTGGGACTTGGCGACAAGTCACGAGTATTTGCTGTACTGCTGATACCACTGGGTGATTGGGATGGATCTCTTGTGAGACTACTTACTAAGGCACTTGTGTCACTTTGAGTTGAGCCACGACGTGGGGACGTCATGCTATCCACCATTCCTGATACTTGGGATAGAGTATTTCCATTATAAAAATCAAAGGGGAGTCAGTGATTTTTTTTTATTATAATTAGATAATCATTAGTTGGTGATAACAGAGAGGCATTCACTTGCTGATTGTGTAATACTAGTTTGAGGATTGGGCATTAAATCCTTCATGCATTTTTTTCAGGCAGGTGTTTTTGTGTTTAATTATGTTTGTTTGGTATTTGGTTTGGATGCATCTTACCTAGTGGCGAAAAGCCAATACTTCGGGGGGAGCCGTAGTGCTGGGGACTGCTTCCACCACTATCCCCCCCTCCTATCAAATTTCTCCCACCTGACAACGTTTACATTTAATTTCCAAATATTTATATATTGTGTTATGCATCATCCGGATGTCCAGGTCAAATTCGATTTACTAATACTATTCTCTAAAATCGTTTTTCTACCAGCCAATCGTTTATTTATATATTTTTTTATTTATATTAAAACTCGCGAAACTGTCGAAGACCGGAAAATAATAATAAAAAATTTTTAAAAACGAAAAAGAATTAATTTTGGCGGTATATGAGTGGAGGACCACCTTAAGCATCTCTTCATGGTTCATAACCTTTCGAATCATTCGTTTTTTTTTATTGAAAATTCGGCTGTGTGAATCTACTATACATTAACAAAAAAAAATATTTCCCCACGGCCTAGCGCCCCGATCTATAACTTCTGGCAGAGAAAAATAAACCTTTAAGACTTTGATAGCCATGATAATAATTTCACTCATGTTCACACTTCTACTGGACACCCAGATTCTGTTCATGTCTTGATAAAGTAAAATGTGAAATGCACAGTGCAATTTCTCAAAAGGATAACGTGATTGTCAATTACCGTGGCCATTCGTTAGAATGGTACAACAGAGGAGCTCATGCATAATTGGGTATTATTAATGGAAGTATTTGAGTACCTGGAGCATTAGTAGCGGGAGGAAAGAGGCAATTGACGGAACCAGTAGGCTGACGAGTGGAACCAGCTAGGATCAACAATGGTAACTCATTAAGAGAAAGGGATAGAGAAAAAAGAGAGCGACATTCTCAATTTGTTTAAATAATGATACGTACCAGGTATCGGTACAGGACTGGATGATCTGCTGAGGAACCTGGGGGATCCCTGAGGATTCTTCGGTGATGAACTCCTTGATGTTTTTCGTGGTGTCTCAGGTGGTGTCGCACCATTTCCATTTGCTCTGCTCTCACCCATCGCTTTCACTAATTCCTTCACCGACACTCCGACTAATTCCGAAAAATCTCGGCCGGATGAATTTTTCTTCTCTTTATCATCTCCCCTCAACCATTTCTGTAAGACACTGAATTTACCACCGCCCTCTCGCTCCCTTTCCTTTCCGTTTTTATCCTTGCACTGGGATTTCAGGAATTTCGAAGAGACTTGATTCTTGTCGCCAGTGCCTTTGTCACTGGCTGGTGAGCTCTGATGACTGGACGAACCAAAAACGAATGGATTTGTCTCTCCACCAGTTCCAATTGCACCTCCAATTCCAGCTCCAGTTCCAGTTCCAGTTCCAGTGCCGGTTCCACTGCCAGTGCCAGTGCCAGTGCCAGGGCCAGGGCCAGTGCCAGCGCCAGTACCAGAGGCAAAAGCATTTTGACATGTGAAATTGAACAATCCCTCATTACTCCCCGATGGAGTTGAAAAATCAAAGCCCTTCGTTAGCGGCGATCCCGCAGGGAGATCTTTGGACCCTTGAATTCCATTAACATCAGAATCTAATTCGTCTTTCGTATTGACTATCTTCATGTGCACCATTCCATGTTTATTAACAGCCAAGGACCATGCCTCTCCCTCATTAAAGCAGTACTTGGAGGCGGACTCGTCATCAATCCTGACCCAAGTGCCATCACCATTCATCCAGTACTCCTGAACATTAACAGAGTCCCCAAGGGTGAGCATACCAACAGGCGCTGCCTTCAAACTCGGTCTACTCCTGATATTATGTCCAGATGCCCCAGAAGTCACGACAATCATAGTTCGTTTTCCCTCAGTCACAGATTCATCGCCCTTTCTCTCCCACCGCTCACTAATCTCCGATCGTTTTCTCAGGATCGACTCCTTAATTACATTATGTACGATTGACTTTGGCTCCTCCACGGGCAACAACAGAGTCTTCCCCAGATGCTGATTGTAACCAAGACACCAAGCCTCAGCGTGACTGTTATTACAGTATTCCTTGATCGTCGGTGAATTAAGTCTCAACCAAACACCGTCGTCATTATGAATCTCCTCGACGAAAGTGATAGTACCATTGATCGGAACAATACCAATTTGTTCACTCTGCAAGGATGGATGAGCACGAATTCTCAGACCAGCGCTGTTTTTACCAACGAATTTTCGGAGACGATTGGGCTGATGCTGTGGTTTTTTAACGATATTCTGACTCGGTGGGTGCATACCCTGTGGAGGCTCCTTCACCTCGACCTTGTAATTGTCCTCCATGTTGTACCCATCGATCGTCATCATCAACGAGTACCAGCCGACGGAAGCTGGGGTCCAGGTTGCACTGTAACTCCCATCACCATTCGGTCTTACTAGCATACTCTCGCTGGATCTCTTGACAGCTGGCGATGTGAATCGTAATTCCTCGAATGAATAATTCTGATAGGCTTTCATTATGGTTATAGCGAAGAAACACATCTTATTGTTGACTGTCACTTCGTAGGGTACATCCAGGACGGGTTGTGGATGTCCACCGAATGTCATTGGATCTGGCTGTGACACACGACGAATTTTACGCCCCTGATCTGCCTCTGATATGTCTTTCTTATCAGTTGGCACTGCTTTCACCTCAACCTGAAATAATACTCTTGGGTAAATGGATCTTTTATTACCCTCGGCTTGAATATACCTTCAATCCTGGTACGTGAACAATCTCTCCGTACTGATCTCGTGTGAGAACCGTGATTATTGCTGGCCAACCACATTTCATATCCTCTCGTGCGTACAGAGCTTCACATTTACCAGGATCAACATAGCTGTCTGGCTGTAACCACCTGGCGAGTCTACTGCCACTCGTACCCGCCGAGCAACACACAAAATCCCTCAAGAAAAGTCTCTCGTTTGAGTGGCAACTGGAAATTATAATGCAATCACATCAAGTCCCATAATTATCCCTCACCGAATTTTCATTAGAAAACATCATTATCCCAATCTCCATATTCCAAATTTTTCCTGTTTCTCAATCTTCCAGTTCATCAAAAAGAATTTTTCAACTTGAAAAACTTTTTTTTAACTGAAATATAATGAACTTTATGATTTTTTCATTCCGGGAAATCATGAAAATAATTAGCGAGTACTCCAGAGCTGAAAATTTTTCATTTCAATCAATAATTTCAGTCAATAATTTTCCTGTACGCAAGTCTCAAAGATTTGACAAACGCAATAATTCCCCTGAATCTCTCATTCTTTGAACAATTGACTCATTTAAATCTGTACTACAATTACGAAATAATATCTACAAGTGACACGCCACGATCTAGCGAATTCCTTGAATCAATCTTGAAAAAAAAAATAGAAAAAATCTGTCAACTATCATCTAATAGAGGATTTTTCAACCGATGATTATTCTCACGCGACGGTAAAATACCCGAGCGGATGTAATTAAATATTGCGCAGTGATTTTTATCGATTGTGATTAAAGTTGGCCAAGGTCATTTTGAGTCCAGGTTTCAACATGTGCTCTTCAGGTTTTAAAATGAATAAAAGAAAAAGAGAGAGCGACAAGGGGAAACCCCCCTGGTATCCTGAAGCGTCGCCTTCACATCTCTTTACCGAGTCTTGTGGGGGGCAAAAAGGGGAACAGACATTCTCGGACTGGTGTTCGAAATGGTGGGGGGCCAGGCCTGATCTTCTGGTATTCAGTTCGAAAGCGACCTCCGCCATGATCGTAACCCAGTCCCTTCAGTAAATGCACAGTAAATATTTTTCGTATCCACCATTTTCCATAAAACCATTTGAAACCACCAGAATGTGATTATTCACACAAGAGAGATCCATTGATCGTGTGGTGAAAGGAAGAGCGCAAAATGCTATCAGTGCAGTTTGAATGATTCATTCCTAATTAATCATTACTCTGGAATTATTCGAATAATGAAAAAATTTAAAATAATGGTGAACGGTGTACTCGGTTATGTTCTCGTGTGTCTCGTTATTCTGGGGGCTATTGGTGATGCTCATGGGGAATCGGAGCCAACGGGGATCTGCTCCATGTCAGGATGCAACTGTACCATCGTTGTGCATCATTGGATTACCGTCAGGTGTATTTTTTCGGAGTACGAGGTAGAGAATTTATTTCTTCCTTTCACGATAAACCCAGATCTATACCCTACCCCAAAACCATTCCAATTGTCCTAATTAATTTCTAAATAATTCTCTTCAACCATTTTGTTATTTCATTAAATATATGAAAATATATAGAACTGATGGACGTATATATTTTTAGTATTCGCTCGTAGCGTCGGAGATCTCGGGATATATTACAAGAATTGAATTGCGACGTTTTTCATTTCTCAAAATGAATGTAATGAGATTATTTGAATCGGGTCACTGCCCCGATAGATAAATCCACGTGGCAAAACAGTGGAAATAATATCTGTTCACTCCATAATTGAAATAAATTCCTCATTCGAGAGTCATTGAATTTTAGCGAATGATTTTCAGTCATTCGGAGTAATTAAAACCCCGAAATTCCGTGAGTTTATTACCAAATCATTATAATTACTAATTTTCATCGGTCTGGGGGATATTCATTACCTCATTACACCCTGAGAAAATGAATAACTCCAGTCTGATCAATTTACATCTGTCCCAGTAGATATGAAAAATTATAAATTCTCTCGAGTGCATTCATTGTTATTATTTACGGGTTTACTAGAGTTGAGTTTGAATTGAATGAGCAATGGGGAGAATAAAAAATACTTCCTAATCGAATCAAAGTACTCGGACACTTATCGCGGTAGATTATTTTTTTTTTTATTTCATACGTCGTGAGACCTCCGACTGGTTCAATCCAGACAGCTAAAAATATTCCCGCAAAAATCCGACAAGTAATTGAATGTTATTTGTTTTTATTGATGTACACTCAATGGGGGTACTAAAAATATTTTTCCCATGCACTCGAATAAACCGAACTTCCGTTTAATGACGACTTCCGGTGTAACCGTTCACTAGACCATGAGATAGAGACAGGAAAGCCCTGCATTGTCCATAATTCATCATTTTTTTGGATTTATTATTATTTGCCCAGTGTATTTCCCACAATCGATGACAAAGTCATTTGTTGAAAAATAATGGATAAATAAATTTTCAAAGATAAATCTAATCTTCACGGGGAATCTATCTTAGAATAGACCCTAACAGTCATGGGGGATTTAATCTGTAAAGCCTCCATGCGGGTCAAATCGTCTCTTCATGGACTTCAAACGAAAGATTTCAACGGCCATTAATCGCCCCATAATTGAGATGATCGAAATTGAAATTGTCCATTGAAGTGTGAAATGGAAAAATTGAATAATCAATGGACGATAAAAAATATTAAGAATTACTGACGCTCTCTTCTTGCCGATTATTTATTGTATTTGCTATTGAATAAAATGAATCCTCTCTTTTCACTGGAATATTTTCGACTGTACTCTGCTCTCCATTTCTCACAATCGAAATTAATTACTCAAACTCAACTCACGTATTAAACCGTCGGCTTTACTCATTGCATTACCCCTAATGTTCCGCCCACTTCCGGTTTAATAATGAAGAAAAAAAAAATTACACCGACTTGAAATTCAAATCGTTCATGAGATGTAAGGCGAGTTGGGATTCTGATTTATCTTTTTTCGTTACCGATAGCTCCGGAGATCTGAGTCATACCACAGGGTAAAGTATTATCCGAGGAAAAATGAAAATTTCGTCAGCTCGTAAAAATCCCTGGGGCTTGGCATCACTAATAAATTATCTATCCCCCGTATAAACCGCGGGAATAAAAAAAAAATACGAATGTTTCATTGTTATTTCCCCGAGGAATTCCTGAACGAAAAAGAGAAATTCTAATAGTGAGAGGTGAGACTTCAATTTCTCACGAAAATGCAGTGAAAATTTTTCCAAGATTCAGTGGCGACTAAAATCAGTGGCGACTAAAATCAGATATTTATGCCATCAACGAAATCCTCTTTGTGCCTCACATTTCCAGTGTTGAAGTGCTCAAAAATAGAAACAGTACACTCCCAAGTTAACTACAGGGCTACCTCGATGCTGACTCATGCAGACCTTCATCAACATTACAATTTCAAAAAGTAATTTCCGAAAAAGGCACCAAAAGATCAGCTGAAGCTAAAGTTCGTGTATCAGTGGAAGTCAAACCCGTTTGAAAATCGAGCTGAAACGCATTAAGCGAATCATGACTGAGACGTGACAAACAAAAAGAAATGGATATTTGTATGACGTATCCGATGGACTTGTGTTACAGGTTCAACCGCAAATTCTAATAACACGATGCAGTCGAATTTCCAGGAGAGAAACGTCACAATTATCCCTGACATCAAATCCATGAAGCAAAATTCAAGTCTCAACTCCTCTTTAAAAATAATAAACTAAATGATGAACACGACTGTGAATACGTTACCAACCGGAAATAGTTGTAGTTGTAAATTACCCAAGGGCGCATGTATACGTGCGACAAATTTCTATCTCCATTTCTCTTCAGCGCATGTACTACACACGATTTTACAACTATCACATCATCTTTTTCCTATTATTCATCACAACTGAAGCCCTGAAACTATCCTTATCATCATGACACCACGAGATATTGACTAATAATCCACTAATAATAGAATAATAATGAACTACTAATTGATGACTCAAACCACTGGATGATTCGCAATAGTTTCCTATAAGTTACCATTTTTTTTCGAGTAGAAATGAGTGAGAACACTTTATTTCATTTCAGGATGTTGAGCTCCAGAAAGGGAGCATTCCAGAGGATGCATCAGAGGTATCAGTGTCTCGGTGTCGAGAACTGAAGATTCATTCAGGTGCATTCAGAGGAGGGGCCCAACTAAAACGAGTGCACGTCACTGGAATCCGTAGTTTCGTGGCAAAGGGACAGGCATTTCAAAATATAACAGCACCTAATCCCCTCCTAGAGGTGTCTGAATGCACCAAAGTTGTCCTAGAGTCTCACGCCTTCAAAAATGCCAGAGGAACACTTTCGGTGTCAATATCGAAGTGCCAGCACGTGGAGATAAAGCCTAACGCCTTCTCCTGGCTGTTGAGGTTCACGATTAAGGAAGTACCAACACTAGAATTATCTAGTAATGCCTTCAAGTTCGAGGCACCACCTTATGGACGACATGGACCAGCAACCAAGGTATTTTTATTAACACAAGACCTTCAGGACCTTCAGGAGCTCTACTGGGACTGACCATTTTTTTTCTGTCTTTAGATTATGTTCCAGAGTGTCAGGATTTCGGAACTTCCAAGTCTAACCTTTCCATCAGCAGCTGCTGAGATACGAATGGATGACGTGTGGACGAGAGTCATTCGGAAGGATGCATTCTGTGCGATGATGATATCGAGTGTCAGAATAGCTAATGCATCGATATTTGAGATTGAATCTGGTGCATTCAGTCATCAGACACTGTTTCCCAATTTGGAATTGATTGAGGTCAGACTGAAGAGCATCAAGAGTGGAGCATTCAGAGCTGCTTTCACAAATTTCAGTATTCAGTATTCAAGGTTTGTAAAGAACTCGATGAATGGATGGATAAATTGTGAGAAAGAGAGACGAGGAGATAAATATTTGCAATGATTTTTCATTTCAGGATCAATGAAATCGATGAAGGAGGGATTGACTCTTCAGCAATTGCTGTGACCTTCAACAACAACGAATTCCACAGCCTCCGGAAGAATGCTGTGACCCTGAAGCAGTGGAGTAAAATAGCAATAGTTGAGAATTTATTTGTGGAATTGGCAGAGAATGCCATTGTTGCTGACGACATAGCTAAATCAACGGCTGAATACCCAAACAATGAATTCTCGTTTCTTGGAAATCGAATTAACAAACCAGCTGATGGCTCTCTGAGATTTGTCTCTGTCAGTGAGAGAGTGACATACGCCAAAGTGGGAAACAATTTCTTTGAGAAAATTTGCAGTTGTGTTATCGAGGATTGGATGCATCAAATATCGGGAAGAAATACATCGACTTCCTGGATGATGGACTCAAGTTTTTGTGTTGCTGGTGAGTGGTTGGAGAAGTGTTTCAAAGCACCTCAGGGATATTTGGCAATGAGAAATTTTACGAATGCAATCTGCACACCTGACGGTGACATAACGTGCAAAGAGCCAACGGAAAAGTCAAAACCAAGTGTCAGTCCACCGAGTGTCGGTCCACACGTATATCCCAGGTTAAACAGTTACTTCGACGTTGAAATGAGTGATCCGGAACAATTGGAGCATGAGAAGAGATTAATTATCATAGTGTGTGCTGCTGCAGTATTCGTTGTTGTTGGTGTAATTTTAACGTGCGGTATTATCTACATGAGACGACGTGGTGTCTGTCCAAAACTCATATCACGATCATTGAATTTCTCGAGTTCCTGGCTGTCACCCACCAATGGAATAACCGCGGCAACATCAGCAAGATCGATATCTCGATTGAGTATTAATGAATACGCTGGACTCCATCCAGAGGCCAGGACAATTGATCTAGAGGATCAGACAATCATCCACGAGGACAACACCGAGGATTTTGCTTACACCGAGAACAAAGCGACTCAAACACTTCCAGAAGAGCTAACTGAGGAGTACCTCAAGGAGCTCAGAGAGCGTCTCAATGATCCCGATAATTACAGCCAAGCCAGAGACATGATCGAGCATCTTTACGACTTGATAAAAGTTGAAGAGAACTGCAACAACAATAACAGCGAGAGAGGTGAAGAAAATGCTTACGACATAATCGCACCCAGAATCAAAAGATCGAGGAACACAAGACCAACAGTGAGTGTTGGAACCAGAGTGCCATCGCTGGAGAAGCTTCAACCATCGGACAATGCAATGAGACCAGCAATTGCTGAGTACATGGAACCAAGAGATCAGAAAACCTGCGATCTCCATCACCTGTACGCCGAATTGCCTGGTGATGAGACAGTACCAAGCACCAGCAGACTATCTCAAACAATTCCTTTCAATTTAACAGCAGCTTCAACAGCTGTTGCCAATCGAGCACCTCAACCATTACCACCTGATGTTGTCAATGATCATTTGATCGATCCAAATCGCCATCACAATTATGCCAATCCTTATCAACCAACCGAGAGACACGATCAGACACAGCACAAGGAGCAACGACCACTGACATTCTTGAAAGCCCTGGGTGACAGTATTTTGGGATCTAAAAACAAGAGACCAGCCAATTCTTTACTTTGTGAATACACAACCCCTGGTGATCTCAGTGCACATCTTTACTCGGAACTTCCTGATTCAAGTGCCTCAATCGTCAAAATGGCTAACCGACCACTACCAAATAAACCTGATCAGGACTACGATGGAACATGAATTATCAATCGTCACGCTATCATTGCAACATTGTGCCAAGTTATTTATCTGTGATAAAATATTTTTCTCTTCAAGCACAAAACTGGTAAATTGCGGAGAGACGTTCATTATTTTTAAATCGATTCTAGTGTCGTGAAATTATTATCAGTAGTCGGACAAAAGCAATTTAACATATCCTTATCAGTCTATATTTGTATATATGTATTGCTCCGTGATATTAACAATCGCGTGGAGTTGATTATCAAGCGATTATCTAGAGTAAATACTTTTGTATTATCTGTTTCTGTATCTCTGTCGCTAAAAAAAAACAGACAATGCCAACACCTTATTTTTTTTTAAATTCGATAAGAGTTCTCGGTATTTTTTGTGATGAATTAGTGCTTTCATGGGGAAAATATGTATTTTCATTCTGCATATATCTCGACTGTAAACAGGAGAGATGCGGGGGCTTATGGGGATTTTCAAGATTTGGTTCAGATAATAAGTAAGAATATTTTTGACTGAGGGGCGTAGCCGAACCAACTATTCTGGAAAGAATGCACGGAGAGAAAATGGAATGAACTTGTGGTGAGAGGAGGCGGTCTGTCTCGCAGCTGTCGGCTTTTTTCTTCACCGCCTAAATCCCCCATCTTCCAAAAAAATAAACATAAAAAACATTCCATTCAGTGCACCTAGAGTTTTCCAATGGGCCCTTCTCACTGAACAATCGGTTAGATTTTGAATTACTGGGCATTGAATGAATCTTCGCGAATGACAATAAGAGAAATTCTAAACGGAAGTTGATGGGTTAACGCCCGAGATGATCGTTACCAAAGGGGAGTGTTATAAGTCCATCAGATTTCATCAAGAGGACCAATCATTCCATCACGCGGTCCATTCCGACCAATAAATTCATCGAAACGACTGAATTGTACTTTCAATTCGTACGTGAATAATCGAATATCGGTGTAATCTGATGTCCTATCAATTTATAAATCCCTCGAATCGAATAATCAGGAAGAAAATCGATGATTTTATTTTTTATCCGAGAGAATTCATCGGCCTTCGGAAATAATTCTACATGAGATTGAGATTTTCAACGCTGCCATTCCTTTTTACATTAAACACTCAACTTATGTGTTGAGGTATTAATAGCGCGGAAATACAACTAGTGGAACTAATTGAAAGACAAAGAGGAATAAATTCTGGTGTGAAATACTGAATGCATTAAGCCCCCGTTAAAATTCAAAAGACGACTCTACAATAAAAATTCATATGATCAAAGATGTGCAGTGGGAAAAAATAATTTCTGTAAATGAGAATAAAAATTCGAATTCACGCGTTGCAAACGGAATTTTAAACCCGCAATGATACGAATCCTTGAAATAATTAACAAATAATTAAATTCACACAGAGTTTACTCGGGAGGTTTTTTAAAAATAAATCTCGTGGTTAGAGATAATTTTTTAATTACCGCCGAGTAATTTTAAAGGATTATCATAATTCGTCGTTTTTCCTCATTAAAAAATGTTCAACAAAAGCGATAATGGGCCATTAAAAATGATTTTAAAAGAGAATATATCCCAGCTGGCAGAGCAGGTGCTATTGTTGCCAGCAATGAGCAAAGTACGAAGTAAGTACGAGATTTAAACTTCAGGGTCAAGACGCGGAATTCATACAAACTGGTACTGGCGAGATATTCATCTCCATTGTCCTCATTTAATTCATTTTTTTTACCCTGCACAGGATTATTCATGAGCCACAAGCCCGGAAACTAAAAGCTCCTGGGACAGGGGTTTAGATATAAATCACAAGAATTTATAATTCATGTACTTTAGGGTGGCAGGACCTCATGGTGTTTCCTAATGAAAGATAAACACAATCAATCCACTCGCACGCTAACTGAAAGACAGAATATTATATAGGCTGTGGTAAACTCGCTATTTTCCAGGGTATGTACTTGATTCTATCCAGGGTGGAGTGAGAAATAGCAATGCCAAACACCAAAGCCTCTTTTACTGGACGTACCCCGGATCCCAACTACACAAACCCCTGGGGCAAGACTTCCAGCCCCTGTTTTCGTTCCATTATATCATTCAGCCGAGCTAAAGGGGGAGACTGTACATTAGGCCCATCATTATTCCTCTAATTGCACACGAGGGGAATATTGCCAGTCAAAACGAGTCGCTCATAAAATTTATGTTAATCCCTCGTGAAAATCGACTTGACTCTGTCGAATTCCTTGAGTAAAAACTCCAACTCATGAATCATTAAATTCGAATCATTAAAAAATTCGAAATCATCCTAATACCAAGAACTTCAGACAAAAATCCGAATTACGTCTGGGAAAAGTCTAGAGGAATCAGATGTGAATCAAGTGAACAAGTCCAAGAGATGATAATCCTACTTTCACACTTGTGCAAGAAATTAAATTATGTAGAGGTCACAGCCGTGAAGACGTGAAGAGAATCTGCTTAAAATTTAGTCACCAACTTGACATTATAATATTGTGAAAATAGAGGAGGTCTAGGTGGCAGATCCCTCACAAGTCGGGGGGCCAACTTTCAACGATCGATTCCCAAGACTTCTATCTCCTGTTGTGAAATAAAATGATAAAAAAAAGACAGCGACGAGGCCACCTGAATCCTGATAACGGAATGAAAGGTGTATTTTATTGAAAATATAAAGCCCAGCCTCTCAATAGAATTCTCTTCGAGAAGACGGAGATTATCTGGCACTTCTGAATTCAAGACTCGATCATTGCACACGTCAATCTCAACTGACTCAACTCAACTGGCTTTCATCACACCCTGAAGTCTAAAAATCTAGACGATGGTATCACTCCCATTTCAGAGGCTATCAGGCTATCATCAAATTATTGTGAATAAATCATTCATTATTACCTCTGAACTAAATATTCAGTGAAAAAAAAGATGAATGGAGAGAGGATGAATGAATAAAATGCCAGAAGGAAGTGGAGTAATTCATTTTCTCCTTTAAAGTCGCTGATACCGACAAAGGAAAGTGCGAGGATGAGAAAAGATAATGGAAAATGTGCGAATATCCATCCCCATTAATTTTCACGACTACATTTTTACCAAAAAAAATTGGTATAAATGCTGAGAAATATCTAGACATTATGAATGAAATGAAAATCATGGTAATTACGATATAAAATCTTTCTTTTAAGGCAGTTGGGTTGAACGAGAGATGAGGAAAGTTGTGGAGAAAGAAAGAATCTTAATGAGTCATTGAGAATTCTCATTATCTCACTGGTGTTTCGCCTCTAGTATCTCTCGTCTGGAGGGCATACGAGGGTTTTTAAGAACTCTTCTTCTCCCATAATTCCAAATTGTTTAGACAATGAGTACGGACGTCTGCATTAAAACTAGGTGAGGAGGAAATTCGCGGGGATCTAGTTATTTTACGCCTCTCATGGAGAGAATAAACCACTGGGGTAATCCAATCCTAGAGGCAATACAGAAGTATTCAAATTATTCGTGAAATGACAATCAAATAATTTTCCATTTCATTTTCCCTCGGTAATATTATTTCAGATTGTTGAAATAAATAAATAAGTTAATATCCGGTGCTAAACAGAGAAATATCTCAATTGTCATGAGATATTCGATAAAATCGTTTCACATACAAAGTTGAAATTTCAAGAATAATTTTCCAACAGTCATGCAAGCCCATTTTTTATTTTTCCACGAATGCACCCCATCCCCAGAAAAGAATTTCGCGTGGCGTATTTTCGCGGAGTGGTATATGTACTATATACCGACACGATATGTAACTGTATATATAAGATTACGATGTACTGGTGAGCAGCATCACAAGTGGCATCCTTATATTCTACATGGGATACATTTTCTCGAGTGTTTTCCTTGTTTTCTTATTCCACAGGGGATGGGAGGAAATTCAACTCAATGGAAGCTTGTACTCAGCGAAGAAAAAACGAAAAGGAAAAACAATAAAAACAAAACGAGATGTTTAAATAAAATATCAACTGATGTCCTAGAGAAAACAGTGTGACACACACGGTGTTCATTAAATTATTGAGTACTCGTATCAATAATTTAATGAATATTGAGTCTTTGACGAATATCGGACTGCAATCCGCCGAGAGATGGAACGTCTTGCTAAATATTTTATTTATCAACTTGGAATAAACAATTCATCAGGTGAAATGCCACAGAATTTAGTCTAGAATATTCAGAGGAATGGAAAATAGTTGCGATAAACCATTTGCAATGAAAACAAAAATTAATGACGAATTGGTAATAAAAATTCAGGGGTTAGACCAATTCTATCGGAGAAATATAGATACAATTTCCTGGGGAATTCTAGGTATTCTAATCGGCAAATTCCAGGGATACATCGTATAACTGACCCCACCAATATATAGGAATGCTTGGAAGATCGATTCTACAGCTCTTCCTTCTCTAACCATAATCCCTAATGGACGAGATGAAATCACATTCAAGATGCCTCTCACCATTAAACAATTTACAAGTGCATTAAACACTTTTTTATCACTCATCACGGGTAATTGCTCCCCTAGATAAACCATGAAAATTCTAAATCTCCTCGACAAACTGTTGCGCCAAAAAAAAACCAAAAACCGAACATAATCCACCGATTTACAACAGATTATGATAATTACAGAGCGAACAATTACAGAATAATTACAGGAGTAATAATAACAATTGATTATATCAATGACAATTGTTTCTGTAATTATTCTATAATTTTCCTCTCTCCAATTGTCAAAATTTCTAGGAAAATTTCGTCTGTAGGAAAATTAATTTTTTTTGTTATTGCGTTAATAATAATTGTTATGAATTATTACTGTCAATGCAGGATAATTTGAGTTATTTGGAGGAGCGAGTGGTTTTTTGGGAATTCGGCAGAATTTTCCAACGAAATTCAATCCCGGTAACATCGATTAGAAAATATTGGCCCACAACGTCACGTGCAATAAATTCAAATTAAAATAGTACCGAGTTGACACGAGAACAATTTAGTTGGCATTGTGATGCGTATATTATCGCAACGACAATATCCATTGGGAGGTATAAATCCACATGGGAGAAGTGAGTACAGAGGTATTACACGTATCGTTGCCATACCAGATATTCTGATTTATCACGGAAATTCATTATTTCCCGGGAAAATCCAGATGGTGAAAATTGTGGCCCAAGTGTATTACCCATTATCCAGGGTACACGATAATTTTTTTTATTAATCCAGAGATAAATGACAAGGGTATCAACCCATTGAAACGTCAGAAAGGTCAAATGTGGTCGATGAAATTTTGAAATAAAAATTTCGAGTGGAATTT